TCAAAATGTAAGAAATATTTATCAACTTCTTTTTCATGAAAAGGGGGTACTAACCTAACATTTTTGCAAACATCAAAAACTCTAATAGTTTCATTTCAATATTCTGTTTCACCTCTGTCATCCCTTTCTAATTCTCTCATCCAAATATTAGCCTGTAACCTTTCCCTTTCCATTTCCTTCAATTGCATCTCTATTTCTTTTTCTTTCATTTCTTTTTCTATTTCTTTCATTTTTTTTCTTTCATTTCTTTTAACCCGATTTCTTCAATTTTGAATTCTACAATCTTGTCTAAAGTTGCTTCTTCAAATGTTGGTTCATCAACGAAATGCTTAATAATGATATTCTTGATCTCTGCTTTTCTCATAAAACCTTTCACTCTTAAATTTTCCCTAATGTTAACAAATCTAGCTTACGAAATTCCAAAAAAATCTCTAAGGATGGCGCTTTAAGAAACTTTTCTATAGTTACAACAATATTGCCTAGCTGTTGGTTTCAAATTTAAATACAAAATAATTTGAATTTTGAATGAACCTTTTTTTTTTCTTTGTTTTTTATTGTGACTGCCTTTCAGACAAAATTTACCGATCCTGGCTTTCTCATTGGCTGAAATATCGTAAAGAGTTAGAGCCCCTAGCGGCAATTTTCTGCGTAAATAATGCTGCGATCTTTCAAATCGCTATTTTAAAAGCATCCACAATTAGTTTATTTTTTAATAGCAATACAATTACTATATATTTCAAAAAAAGTGCAGTGTGGTTGAACTATTGTTAAAATTTTGAACAATATATTTTACGGAATTTGCTCACGGACATCCCCGACCTCTGCTACTGAAGAAGATCAAGCTGAGTTGATTCTTATCGCCTGCTGTGAATATTCCTAGAAAACAACCATATTTACCGTTAGTAAGCAAATAAAATGTTTCTTGTATCTTCAAAGTTTATTTTAACTACATGACTTGATTAACTGTATGGCGGAGCTTATGAATCCTTCTCGACATGACGTAAGCATACAGAACACTGTACATGCGAGTTGGCGCCATGGTAAGAAGTTAGTCTGAGGGCTTGGTTTGAATTATCAACTAACAGAACTTATAAACAAACAAAACTTACAAACAGGACATCAATTTTGCTTTAATCCTTGTCGTTGTGGCAAGATCGTCTTAATATATAATATCACTTTACCTCATTAGACGTCACAAAATTGGACTGTTCGCCCCACGTGCACACCCGCCAATATGACACTTTTTCAGGTTTTTCACACCCACTGCCATGACACTTTTTTAAGTTTTTGAAGATAAAAAGTTTGTGCTTCGTAGGCAAGGTCCATTTGGTGCTCATGATTTATGAATAATATATTTTTAATACTGTATTGATCATGATGTTGACTTTTAGTTTTATTTGATGAAGGTTGATTGTGCTGATTTCTCAAGGTTTTTTAATGTGTATGAAAGTTACTTGAAATGAAAATATTCCTTCAAACAAAGTTCGTATAAAAAAACCCAAAAATATCAATGTTTATAATTATCAATTAACTAGAACGAAATGTTTCCATAACATATATGTTCATTTTGCATGTCATGGCGACATTATCTAATGCATTGGACATCAGAAATAGTAGTAGCTATAGTAAAAATATTGTAAATTTTGTATATATGGGAGTCTGGTTTAATCTCATAGAACTATGTCTTTATAGATGTAATTACTGGAAGACACTTCAAGGAAGATAGGCATGTAAATACATTTAATGTAATTACTTACACTTTTTTCTATCTGAAATGCTGTGTACACCTTATCTACTTTCCTCAACTACAAATATAATTATAATAAGCAAGGACTATTACTTTGCAATACATTTGAAATAAAGAAGTAGGTATAAAGTCATTTCGTTTTGTTCACATTATTGTCATCAAATTTGAAATAAGAATCAAAGAAGATATAAAATCGCTTAAAATTAAGAAAAATAGCCTCTGGTTCTCTTATTTTAGTAATTTTTGCATTCCAAAGTGTAGGAGTATGGGGAAAGTAATATAGCTTAGCGGTTATTTGTGAACATTTTTCAATACGTTTAGCCTCTCAGGACTTTCAGTACTTTGATTTTTTTTTTTAATTTAAATCTTCAAAGAGATAGCATAATTCGATCCCGGACGAACCCCCAATCTGTTACGTTACGGAATTAACGTACAGCGAACAAAAACCAACAGCTAGGTTAAAATTCAACACTTTATTAACAACAAATAAATGCTATGCAGTAAAGTTACAAATAGTGTGATGGTGTACAGAGCTAGCTACTAATTAATCAAAAGTCAGAACTTATCTTTCCGCGGAAGTCCTCCAAATCCAGAAGAATTCACAAAAGATTGTCCTCAAAAACCGTGTAACCGAAGAGTAATCCAAGAATTGTTTCCTAGTTGGGTATATATATAAGTGCAAGACCACAAGGCACTATCACTGAATCACCGTAAAAGTCCACACTTCACAGACTGAAGTCTCAAAGTAAACTCACTCGAGGCGTGAATACTTCAAAAGGCTCCTCAGGCTCAGTTCCATCATGTTTATATACACTAAAGGTTTCTAGAAAGTTCTTCTCTAGATTGTTTACATGCGTCTCTAGAAACTTCCGGAAACACCCAGATAATTCTAATATCCGCGCTTTCTAGATTCAGAAACTTCCGGAAACACACAGGTCATTCTAGTAACCAAACTTTCTCGAAAAATCTGCTTAGCACTTTCTACACATATTGTGCCAAACAATTATAAACAGGTTTTTATGTAAACAATCAATATAACACAATGCATGTAAACACAGCACATCTGAATTTAGATTAATACACAACATTTATACATGACAATATATATATACATCAGATACAGGTAAGAGTTTCATATGACTACGCTGGATTGCTTTGTAATAACGTTACTTACACTGTTGACTACGGAATCCAAGTAGTGCTGCTGTCGGTGTCGGAGCGCCGGGAGCAGACGACAAGTGAGCGTTCGCCACTTGCGGTTAAGCTGATTTCAGAAAAATGAAACTGCTCTATTTTAAGTGTGAACACTGCTAATGTAAATAATAGATCATGTACTCGAGTTAATATAAGAAGGACATCTTAAATCGGGTCTTCTTAATACCCTTGTATATATATATTCACCAATCAGAATGTAGAAAGTTTACGTGTTCTGAACCGGAAAATTAAAGAGATTTTGTCGGTCAAATTATTTTTAACCATTGAACGGGTCGGCAGTTCTCATTGCGTGCTGAGGTAAGTGTATTGTGGGAAATGAAGTTCTAGCCACACTTCCGTTTGAAGTTGATCGTATGGGAAAGTTGTTGGAGTTGAATAATCACACACACAATACATTAAAGCGCTCGTTAATATAGCCACAATGTTTTACGTTACAAGTTTGTTATTGTTATACAGATAGGCCCACTGTTTCATATACTTACAGTTTCGGGTCAAGTGATTATTTGAGTATTTTACTGAGGAGTGAGGGCTAATCTGGAAACTATTAAGTAATTTTTCGTCCTTCAAAAATAAATAAATAAATGAAAATACTAATAGAATCTTCCCCTACCCTGAGGGTGTGATAGAGAAATCTCCAACCCGAGGGGTGATTTTTGTTGTTGTCTGAACCGAGGGTTATACTACAAAAAAATCATACTGAGGGTTGGAGATTTCTCTGTCACATCCTCTGAGGGTAGGGGTTGATTATTTTTCTCCCACCCCATTATTTCCGCCACGACGTAAAAAATATCCCACGATCTGAATGGCACATGAATATCACCATTCACGTTTCCAAAATTCTACATTCTTCCGCGAGAGCAAAATGACTGACTACAAACGCAATATGAATAACCATTAGAAATATTTATTTTTTGGAAATTAAATATTTTAATTACCGACAGATACACGGAAATACTTGTATTGAACAACATTTAACTCCGTATCATTTATTAAGGTAGGGTAGGCTTGCCGCGATGTCATGGACAAAAAGGGGATTTCCCTGTTTATAATAACGTCAATTGTTTATGCGCGCGAAAAATTGCAATGGTGTGAGTGTCACGCGTGTGTTCATTCAGAATCAGAGTCATGGATGATCCTCCGGCGTTTAATTGTGTTCACTGGACAAGGATTGTTATAGTTAATGTTAACTGTGATGTTGCAGTCGCGCATTACGGAACCTGCAAACAAAGCATCCACTCGTCGGTTTGAGTCAGTTGTGATAGCCGACTGAGGTCACCGAGTGCAGTCATGTGGGATAGATTTATCCTCCATGGGTTTTCCACATGGGACATATCTATCCTACATGGGCAGAGGTGGGAGAAAGATATATCCTCAATGGGTGTTCCACATGGGACATGTTTATCCTACATGGGCAGAGGCGGGAGAAAGATTTATCCTCAATGGGTGTTCCACATGGGACATGTCTATCCTACATGGGCAGAGGCGGGAGTAAGATTTATCCTCAATGGGTGTTCCACATGGGACATATCTATCCTGCATGGGCAGAGATGGGAGACTCTCTTCTTTGGAAAGGCTGAGGAAGTCTAGGATATTCATTTTAAAATGACCTTTTCTGTGTCTACGAATAGTACGGAGAAAAACAACGAAATCCTGTCACGATTCCCAAAATACCTATTGCTCGTCTTCAGTACATGTTACACTATAATCAGTTCTTATGTGTTTGTATGTTGAAAAAATATCATCAAAATATCCGTGAATGGTATTTGGGTCGACTGTATCGTTAGCATGCAAATCCTCATATGACCGCGGCTGCTGTGAGGACGTAAAAACTCATATATCGGTCACCTAAATCATATTTGTGTATCGACTATACTACCATCTGGTAACAGTTCAATGTTTATATTTACATGTGTACCTAAGTTTTTTGCGATATGAACGAAAACAAAAAGGGGCGGGTCACAATCATATGATAAATTTGACTGACGTCATAAAGATGATAATTGGTTGACGCCATAGTATTTAGATGCCTAACGACAAGATGGCCGCTAAGGCAGCTCCGGACATAATCCATCTCCACGATAATTTCACACTTCGAGAAAAGGGAGGAATATGGAAACCGGATCGACACGAGAAAATCTCTTTGCAGTCTTACGGTTATGTGTTTGGTGAAACTATCGGCGAGGGACCCAGGTCAAAGGTTAAAAAGGCGATTCATCAGCGGATGAATAAAACCGTTGCGATCAAAATCATCAAGAAAAATCGCTACAAGAAAGAGACATTGGAAAAATTTGTCACCAGAGAGATTAGATTGAATCAGAATCTACAACATCCGGGATTGGTAAGGATGTTAATGTACTGATATAACTTGCAAAAATGCAAACATATGTTCCTCCTCCTCCTCTTCTTCTTCTTCTTCTTAAAACAACATATTCCGAGCAGTACAACGAAATGAATTAATTGCTCTGAGGATGTCGTGCGATGGTCATCCATATGTTGTTCAGTGGTGTATCGATCAGCTACTCACGTCTTGAAATAACCCTGACTGTTCACGAGACGCTAAACCCAGCGAACAAACAAAAATAGGTAAAAAAAATTGTAATTTCTTTTCACTTTATGCTTTCACTGTATTTATGATTTTACATTTTCAGCTTGACGTATATTCGGTATATAGTAGTAATGATTGTTACTACCTGGTCATGGAGTACGCCCCGAATGGAGATCTCCTTACATTCGTTAATAAACTTGGTCGTTTGTCCGAACCAGACGCCCGCCGGATCTTTAAGCAAATACTGGACACTGTCAACTATCTTCATACAAATGGCGTCTGTCATCGCGATATCAAATGCGAAAACATCCTTCTCGATCGATTTTATAATATCAAATTAACTGGTAAGTTTCCCGCCAACCCTATTATTCAAATACGCTTTCGAAGACTGATAAATCTAGTTACACATTTGTTGTAAAATGAACGAATCATAGATAAAAGCTCTATTGGAAAATATTCTCATGTTAAAAAAAAGAATATGATTAAAATTAGTATTTTATGAGCGGAGTAACTGTATACATGTACTATACATCAATCTTGTCATCGAATGTATCAACAATTGAAAATAAATCCATTTGTTAAGAGTTAACAATTCTCTTTTGTAGATTTTGGGTTTGCGCGCATGTTTCCACAAGACCACTTCGTAGGTACAAGTTGTGGTTCTTATGTGTATACTGCACCGGAAGTGCTCACAGCATCGTCGTATGATGCCGTCTTGGCTGACATATGGAGTATGGGTTAGTAGAAGTCCTGTTTACAGCAAATCAAAAATACACTTAATAGATAGTTCATTGACCCTATGCTACATATGATAAAGTTTGTTCTGTGTTTTATACTCAAGGGATGATAGCTCGTAAGCATATATATTTCCCTTTACACACAATAGTGAATTGAAGTCTCCATACTGTTTACTGAGACAAGGACCGCCCTGTGCCGTACTAGAGTGGTTGTATTCTTGAGCAAGGTACTTTAATTACTCCAATTGCTTCATATAACATTCTACGGGCCTCCCACGTGTTGTTCAGTGAGGTAGTCACCAGCTCGAAGTGAGGGAGAAGTCACTTAGAAGTTGGCGAAACTAACATTTTCTTTTACGCCAATATTGAACTAAAACTAAACTTCGCCTAAAAGTGGCGGAGTCCATTGTAATTATTTCCTTTCAAACACTGTATTAGCTATCTTCTTCACTTTCCACACCTTTTTCAACACTGCCCATTTACGTTGTAGGTGTTTGTCTGTATGCGATATTGTGTGGTCATCTGCCATTCCGGGACGATGATTTAGCAGTGATGCGCTTCGCCATGCAAGAAAGGCTCCAATTCCATAAATATGTCTCTAGAGGTAAGTATTCGGACGTACAGACATGCCGAGATGATCAGACAGATATGCAGTATTTCAAGTAGACTAGGTCACCTGTGTTATCATGTATGCATAGATGATTCTGTACATCATTAGAATAGGCTCGCTTCAGTCCGATTAAGAAAGGTGTCGTTGTAACGTAGTTTTGTAGTTGAATTACTCCTTTTTCTGGAGACTTATCTTATGTTGAAGAAGTAAAACCTTTGCAATTTTTCTGTTCAGCATCCTCCGATAAATCATAGGTCACATGTCATCCTTATGACGGAACAGTAAACTGCGCACGGATAGGTCCTTTTCGTTCATCGTATCATCACTTGATACATTGAATTCGCAAGTTGTAAGTGGCACATCAGGGGAATTTCAACATATCTCAAAAATAGACCGATCTACATTATGTTATTGCGTTGATGGAAAAAAATATCACTGTCTGAAGCACGGTACCCCATAGATTTTCCCTCGTTTTCACAGACTGTCGTGAACTACTGAGGGCGATGCTTTCTTACGTTCCAAGAGGGAGACCTTCCATCAACAAAATAATGAAGACTAATTGGATGTGTAAACCACTGAAAAATGTTGGCGAATCATCCATGTCGCACATGTCTGTGGCAGCCGGTATGTATGTATAAAACCATATATGAATCAAGCAGGCAGACACGGTGCCTTTTTTGTGTGTTTTAATTTTTCGATACAGATACTGACGGGGAAAAAGTAATTCCTTTTTATCCCGTAGTAACGGACGGCAAATTCTGGTTTTATGTTATTGTTATGTGATTGACACAGCCGTGGTGGTATGGCTAGATAAAACAAATTAATTAGATTGAACGGGTGAAATTGCATGCCATGTAGCTTACGTTATGTTAGATACATGTAATTCAGAGGCTAAATTTTGTGAGTTGGAAGACCGGGGATAATCCCGGATTCAACAGACAGTGTGAATTGTTCAGAATGCATTAGGTATGGTTTCGTTCCTCGTAATTTCCCCATAAGCAAACATATTTTAAATTAAAACATATATTTGATTCCTTTTCGTTGTTGTCCAGTCGACAATAACATCAGATGCAGTGATATTTGAAGAATATCATCGCTAATAATGCCATGACTTGCAATATTTTACGTATATGATTTGACTTTTTAATAATTTGTCAAACACTCTTTTGCCTATGATTCAGATTAACATCTGTATTATTAAATTTCGCTACCTGGCCCTATATGTGCTGAATGACTTTACCTTTAGCTATTCCTTTTTCAGTGACCGACATACATGAAAACAATATGGAGTACAATGTCTACGCTGAGCATGGGTTTTCATGTAATCTACATGACGATGTTTACAGAGGAACTCGGGTTACCGATGTTCTGCGTACCGTCGCGGAAAACCACAGGTACCGAACTAGAGAAACACATAATCTGCCTAATGTCCCACAGAATGCCCCTTTTCGGCTAAAATCAATATATATAATCCTAAAACCGAGTGATACAATCAGTTGCTTATGTTGGAAAACGTATATAGAATTCATCTAGATAATCGTAAAGTGAAACCAATAAAGATTCGAATAGCATATCACCATTATGACAAACCATATCGAAACAGTAACGCCTACAGAGTAAATTTCCAACTACATTGTAATTCATATAAAATGACTCTGTTATAGCCCTAGATATAGCATCTGTATTTACCATTTTGCTACGGAAATCACAAAGCTGATGTGATTCATTACAAGTAATTCAAGGGTTTGTTTTGTCAAATTCACATATACACATGACGTAGGCAGTTACATTCCGACGTCTAGAAATGATACTTATTAATTTTTGTCCAGTTCGGGGACCAGCTCGATTGACCTGACCAAAATAGATATTCCTAAAAATAAGGCGTCCACAACTGCTATGGTTACTGGAGTAGCAGGGCCAATCGGAAGAAAGCTGAGTCAGCAAATGGGATTAGGTGAATATATTTTAATGATATTGAACCACAAGATGGTCATTTGTCCGAACAAGTGGACCGAAATATACGTAATGGACCCTTCACTATTTTTTCTAGTTTTCATGATCCAGAAGTTCAACGATAATGATGTTGATTTTTGTTCATATAACCAAAAGTTTGCTATACATTATATAATATACCATTGGCAATCTGCCTTTATATCGATGGAGGAATTAAAAAAAGATAAATAAAAGATCAGAATACAAATTTCCGTCACGATACATTGTGAACGGTACCACATGTAAAAAATGGTGCGCGATTACACGAAAAAACATTTCTGATACCTTTTCTTTATTCGCGCAAATCGTGCAAACTATTTTTCTGCTATTATTGAATTCACAGGCGATTCAACCAAACGTTCACTAAAATCAAGTGGTAACGTGTGGTCTCCCCTAGGCAAGAAAGAAGGTAAAAGGAAAGAAGAAGGTCAAAGGAAATCTGCATTCGGCAAGGCCGCTAATGCGCTGGCGACATTCAGGCGAGCAGCGAGAGTTGTAACGGCAGTAAAACGGTTTCAACGAAAACCACTGAACACGATTCTGAACATGCCACAAGACCAAGCCATGGCGAAGATAATTCATACTCGTGAAAAATGTGCCTCATACGAAATCAAAGATCTACATTTTAGTCAAGCTGGCAAAGCGGCTACTTTGTCTGGGAGGAGAAGGAAGGAAATCGCCTTAGAAGCACGACAGTCGGAAATATTGCGGCAAAATGAATTTCGAGCAACAGAGGAGCGACGCGGGCTGTTTGGACACACATTGTCCATTCTGACTCCCGGTTCTGATGTTCAGATCCTTGAGTTTTAGACAAAAGAAAATAATTTTGTCTTTATCTTTACAACAACGCTATACATACTATTGGCTATTGTGTATTGCTCAAAACAAATAATTGTTATTGCCATTGATAGCAAAGCAAGTATATTTGTTTATCAGGATGTAAAATATACTTCGTCAATTTAGCTAATACACACTGAAAACAGATTAACATGTTCGACTGGTTATTATTATTCAAAAGTCAAAGCATAGAAAACTAGAGCTTCATATTAGTCAAATAACAGCGGTCTCAAATCATAGGTGACTCATATATTAGCCAGCTTTTCAGTTCAGCTTCAGATAGGTAAGCACGTTTGTAGTGCAAGATAATATGATTCGAGCTGTGTATACTTTGTATTGAATTCCTAACCATTTGTCAAGTAATTATGCGCCTGGATCGAAGATCAGGGGCATAGTGTTTTGTGCTCTTTGTTCGTCTGTTGTCAACTTTCACCTTGTCAATAACTATTGGACCGTAAGAAGTCTTTCATACTTGACATGCGTGTTCCTTGTGACAAGACCTTTCTGGTGGTACCAACAATTTTCACCTCAGAGGTCACCTCTGACCTCATTTGAACAAAAAATTAACATTGGCCACAACTATTACATCATAAGATCATATTTGGCATATGTGTTCGTTGTCACAAGACCTTGACCTTTGAATAGCATTTAAAGGTAAAAAAAAACAAAAAAACACACAATTATTACCACAACGAAGACATAAATGTTTCACAAAGTGTACATGCAATTAGCACATGCCTTACACAGTACATTTTTAATGTCTCACTTCCGAAGTTTGTGGCAACTGGGCAAAGTGTTTCATAGACACGTCTTTTTCATATGTATTGAATGTATTACCAACCCAAATGTTTTGTTGTTGGCATATTGTTAGGATTCAATTCAAGTTTTGATAAGGTTCTCCCATTTTTTCCATTTTTTCATAAATTTTAATCTGAAAGTGTTGCTTTTGCTCTTTGAATTATGTCTTTGTACAGAATAATGACTTTGTATAGTTTTAACTAAAGTATTGATGTATAAAGAACTCTGTAGATATCTTGTTTTGTAAATGTAATGTTTAATCATCAAAATTATTTCAATATCAACTGGAAGATTAAGGCTATTCTAGCTAGTTATTTCAAAGAGAAAGGACTGCTTTTTAACCTCATAATACTAACCATAATGGTGACAGTACACTGATCAAAAAGATGTAACTTCGGAGAAGGAAAGAAATCGTTTGTTAAGGGAGGGGGAATGACAGACGAGCCCATATGATTGTGTTGGGAGAGTGACAGGACGAACCCATATCAATGTTAAGGGGAGTGACACGACAAACTCATCTGAATGTGTGGGGAGTGACAGGACAACACATATAAATGTGTGAGGGAGTGACAGGACCAACCCATATGAATGTGTGGGATAGTGACAGGACAAACTCATATGAATGAGTGAGGGAGTGACAGGGCAATATCATATGAATAAGTGAGGGAGTGACAGGACAAAAATATATGAATGTGTGGGGGAGAGAAAGGACAAACTCATATGAATGTATGGGGGAAGGGACAGAACAAACTCATATGAATGGGGGGAGTGACAGGGCAAACTCAAGTGACAGGACAAACTCATATGAATGTGTGGAGGAATAAGAGAGCAAACTCATATGAATGTGTGAGGGAGTGAAAGGGCAAACTCATATGAATGTGTGGGGGAGTGACAGGACAAATTCATATGAATGCGTGGGGGAGTGACAGGACAAACTCATATAAATGTGTGGGGCAGTGACAGAGAGCAAACTCATATGAATGTGTGAGGGAGTGAAAGGGCAAACTCATATGAATGTGTGGGGGAGTGACAGGACAAACTCATATGAATGTGTGAGGGAGTGACAAGACCAACCCATATGAATGTGGTGGAGTGACAGGACAAACTCATATGAATATGTGGGGTATTGACAGGACAAATTCATATGAATGTGTGAGGGAGTGACAGTAAAAACTCATATGAATAATGGAGGAGTAACAGGGCAAATTCATGAATGTGTGGGGGCGTGACAGTAAAAACTCATGTGAATAATGGGGGAATATCAGGGCAAACTCATATGAATGTGTGAGGGAGTGACAGGGCAAAAATATATGAATGTGTGGGGGAGTGACAGGGCAATATCATATGAATATGTGAGGGAGTGACAGGACAAAAATATATGAATGTGTGGGGGAGAGAAAGGACAAACTCATATGAATGTATGGGGGAAGGGACAGAACAAACTAATATGAATGGGGCGAGTGACAGGGCAAACTTAAGTGACAGGACAAACTCATATGAATGTGTGGGAGAAGGGACAGGACAAACTCATATGAATGTGTGAGGGAGTGAAAGGGCAAACTCATATGAATGTGTGGGGGAGTGACAGGACAAACTCATATGAGGTGTGGGAGAAGGGACAGGACAAACTCATATGAATGTGTGAGGGAGTGAAAGGGCAAACTCATATGAATATGTGGAGGAGTGAGAGGGCAAACTCAAATTAATATGTGGGGGAGTAACTGGACAAACTCATATGAATGTGTGGGGGAGTGATAGGACCAATTCATATGAATGCTCGGGGCAGTGACAGGGCAAACTCAATTAACAGTACCAACTCATATGAATATGTGGGGGAGTGACAGGACAAACTCATATGAGTGTGTTGGGGAAGGGACAGGACAAACTCATATGAATGTTAGGGGTTAACAGGACAAACTCATCAGAATATGTGAGGAGTGACAGGGCAAACTCATATGAATATGTGGGGGAGTGACAGGACAATCTCATATGATTTTGTTGGGGAAGAGACAGGACAAACTCATATGAATGTGTTTGGGAGTGACAGGACAAACTCACATGATTGTGTGGAGGAGTGACATTGAAAACTCATATGAATGTGTGGGGGAGTGACAGGGCAAACTCGAGTGACAGTATCAACTCATATGAATATGTGGGGGAGTAACAAGACAAACTCATATGATTGCTTTGGGGAAGGGACAAGACAAACTCATATGAATGTGTGGAGGAATAAGAGAGCAAACTCATATGAATGTGTGAGGGAGTGAAAGGGCAAACTCATATGAATGTGTGGGGGAGTGACAGGACAAATTCATATGAATGCGTGGGGGAGTGACAGGACAAACTCATATAAATGTGTGGGGCAGTGACAGGGCAAACTCAAGTGACAGAACCAACTCATATGAATGTGTGAGGGAGTGAAAGGGCAAACTCATATGAATGTGTGAGGGAGTGACAAGACCAACCCATATGAATGTGGTGGAGTGACAGGACAAACTCATATGAATATGTGGGGTATTGACAGGACAAATTCATATGAATGTGTGAGGGAGTGACAGTAAAAACTCATATGAATAATGGAGGAGTAACAGGGCAAATTCAAGAATGTGTGGGGGCGTGACAGTAAAAACTCATGTGAATAATGGGGGAATATCAGGGCAAACTCATATGAATGTGTGAGGGAGTGACAGGGCAAAAATATATGAATGTGTGGGGGAGTGACAGGGCAATATCATATGAATATGTGAGGGAGTGACAGGACAAAAATATATGAATGTGTGGGGGAGAGAAAGGACAAACTCATATGAATGTATGGGGGAAGGGACAGAACAAACTAATATGAATGGGGCGAGTGACAGGGCAAACTTAAGTGACAGGACAAACTCATATGAATGTGTGGGAGAAGGGACAGGACAAACTCATATGAATGTGTGAGGGAGTGAAAGGGCAAACTCATATGAATGTGTGGGGGAGTGACAGGACAAACTCATATGAGGTGTGGGAGAAGGGACAGGACAAACTCATATGAATGTGTGAGGGAGTGAAAGGGCAAACTCATATGAATATGTGGAGGAGTGAGAGGGCAAACTCAAATTAATATGTGGGGGAGTAACTGGACAAACTCATATGAATGTGTGGGGGAGTGATAGGACCAATTCATATGAATGCTCGGGGCAGTGACAGGGCAAACTCAAGTGACAGGACAAACTCAAGTGACAGGACAAACTCAAGTGACAGGACAAACTAATAAGAATGTGTGGGGGAAGAGACAGGACAAACTCATATGATTGTGTGGGGGAGTGACAATGAAAACTCAAGTGACAGAATCAACTCATATGAATGTTTTGGGGAGTAACAAGACAAAATCATATGATTGTTTTGGGGATGGGACAAGACAAACGCATATGAATGTGTGGGGTAGTGACAGGGCAAACTCATTTTTATGTGGGGAAGTGACAGGACAAACTCATATGAATGTGTGAGGCAGTGACATTGCAATTTCAAGTGACAGAACCAAGTCATATGAGTGTGTTGGGGAAGGGACAGGAAAAACTCATATGAATGTTAGAGGGAATAACAGGGTAAACTCATATGAATGTTAGGGGTTGACATGACAAACTCATTAGAATATGTGTGGAATGACTGGGCAAACTAATATGAATATTAGGGGGAGTGACATGACATACACAGATGAATGTGTTTCGGAGTGACAGGACAAACTCACATGAATGTGTGGGGAAGTGATAGGACAAACTCATATGAATATGTGAGGCAGTGACATTGAAATTTCAAGTGACAGGACCAAGTCATATGAGTGTTTTGGGGAAGGGACAAGACAAACTCATATGAATGTTAGAGGGAATAACAGAGTAAACTCATATCAATGTGTTCGGGAAGGGACAGGACAAACTCATATGAATGTTTGAAGGAGATTGACAGTTCAAACTCATATGAATGTTGGGGAAGTGACAGGACAAACTCATATGAATGTGTGGGGGAGTGACAGGGCAATTTCAAGTGACAGGACCAAGTCATATGAATGTGAGGGAGAGTGGCAGGACAAACTCAATTAACAGTACCAACTCATATGAATATGTGGGGGAGTGACAGGACAAACTCATATGAGTGTGTTGGGGAAGGGACAGGACAAACTCATATGAATGTTAGGGGTTAAC